CCGACGTCATAAAGCTGGAATATTACTGAGTGCGGCGTTAAAGAACAAACAAACAAACAGTGTGTATCTTGTCAGTGTGGGTGGAGAAATGAACACTTATAGATGAATTTACTTGTGCATCGGTATGAAGGTAGCCGTTCATGTTGCAGTAATGATTATTTATTAGTATCGTATTTCGCATAGATGTTGTTTGTTGTTTGCTGTTCAACACCGCACTCGGCAGTATTCGCCTCTTACGACAAGCATATTCGCCTCTTACGGCAAGCATGGGTTGCTGAAGACCTATTACAGCCCGGATCTTCACGGGCCTCGCATATAGATGACATAAGGGGGCGATGGTGTAGCTGAGTGGCTAAGGCGTTGGCTCATCGCGCCTAAGGGCCAGGTTCCATTCCAGGTATAAAGGCTTATCTTGAAGTCCATTCCTGCAAGGTGTCCTTCACCGTCATATGGCTTCCATGCGATTTTCGAGTTCAAACATTTAAAGGGCGACTATCCCCGGGCAGATTGGCTGCTTTAGTAAGTTTGGTTCAGGTCGTTCAAACACAACTTTCTTTGTCTGTTGACTCCAGTTTCATGATTTATATCAATCTAAGAGTTCACGAGTACTCTGATTGACCCAGGTGTCCATTAGGCATAATTTACAACATGTAGACCTGGACTGAAACTGGCACCAGACACAGAAGCGCAGTCCTCCCTTTAAGTCTTAGTTTTCTAAGAAACTTACGTTTCAATTTTTGTCACCATTTTTATCGTGATCATGTGTGCCTAAACTGCTATATTTACTTTCCAACCAGCTACCCATAAACGAAAGAGAACATCTGTAGATATATCTGAAGAATCGATGCTAGGAGAAACAGCGGCAGAGGGCGAAGGGAGATAACTCTCGATCTTTCATCCATACATGTACCCACCAGTAAGTGCAAAAGTGATCGTAATATACCCAGCGTTACTACACCGGCTTCCAAGCTATATAACAGCTATCCATGGGTATGGAGTTCGGACTTTCCATGGGATATTCCTCTAGTAAATTGGGCTAGAAGACAGCAACACAACGGTTCAGGGCAAATGTCCCATTAATATCTTAACTTGAAAATAAATATTAACAACTTATTATAACAACTTCAAATTATATTAACACCAGGCTCGGGTCACCTGCCTTTCCTGTTGTGTTGCTGTCACCCAGTCGTTGTTGGATCCAAGGAAGGAAAACAGACTCATGTGTATACCATTATTCCATTTTTATTTAGATATATTTAAGTAATGGAGTAGTATGTGTCCAAAAAAGGTATTTAAAGCAGGGCCAAAAGTGAGCACAAAAACGGTTCTCCTATATCAGAGAACGGAATCAACTTAGAAATGTCAGTCAAAGGGTGAGCCAAAACAAAAGAAAAGAAGATCGAAAGAGTGTGTCCAAACATAAACCCAAAGGGTGTAGCCAAAACAGTCCAAACGGGAGAAATGCTTTATTACAGGGGCACCAAACCACACCCTCTCACACAAACACACATGCAAAACACATCCTCTTATGCATATACTCAAAACACGCGAGACACATCCTGTCGCACATGAACTCTTAAAATCAAACACACATGCAAAACACATGCTGTCACACATACACACGTACACACAATACTAGATGCAAATCACTCCAACTCCCATATACACACATGATTACACTCACCCAAACACACATGTGAAACGAACACTCATACATACACACTTAAACCCAATCACACATTCAAAACACACTCACACACATCACAAACTTGCACTTTCTGTCACACATGCAAAACACATCCTCTCACACATACACACTGACACTCAACAACACATGCAAAAACACACCATCTCACACATACACTCTCTATCACACAAGCAAAAAACATCCTAACACACCTACACACTATCTATCACACGTGCAAAACAACATCCTCTCACATTTACACACACTCGTACTCCCTCTCTCTCTCACACACACACACACACACACACTGGATGAGAAATCTACAAGAAGATTCTCCTCCAGAAGGCAGCCACTCTCCTCAGCGCCTTCCTCAGAGGATGAACCTCTCTGTCCTCCACGAAGCTGTCGTCATCCTCATCCTCGTAGACCCAGTAGTCACTGTCGTCATCACTAGGGGCAGGATAATGGTCGACGAAGGTGATGGTGACTGGGGCGGGGAGCGTCTCGCCGTGGTCAGGGCGGGCCCAGAAGGGGGTGAAAACACTCAGAGAGTTGGGAGAGGGGGTCGGGGACGCAGCCTGGGGACGCTACATCAGTGAGTGGGGAGGGAGGGAGAAAGGAGGGTCAGAGGGCCAGGTATATAGGCGGTTTTCAAATAACAAATAACATGTGGAAAAGAAAGTCAGTGTGATACACAGGTTACACATGCAATAAGGCGCTACAACAAGACGGAAATTCTGATCGACCTTTTGAATCATGCAATTGGAGGAGGGGGATCATGCAGTTATTTTTTAGGACACAATATCACACAGAGAAAATGGGCAATGTCAATAGCGTGCGTGGGGGACATCGACAAAAGCACTTAAGTGATCTTATTCGGCGGCCAAATCCGAAACAGATGTAGATAAACTACATACACAGTCGGATTCCTCATCCAGCGACGGCCATAAACTCGCAGCAGGAGTGACATGATACCGGATCATGTCTTCCCGTGCTGAAAAGAAAAATAAACAAATTTAATAATACCTTAAAATACATGTTCAATGAATATATCGAGTTAAGGAGTTCGAGTTAACGAGGTTACACTGTACTACAACTTTGATAAAAGGCATCGCCCAGCCTCTAGTCAACAAATATAGATCTAGATATTTTGCAACACATCTCTACAAAAACTTGTACAGCTCTTATTTACTCTTCAGAACCTGAATGGATGGACGGACAGACAGACAGACAGACAGGTGGATTAGGAGTTGAGAGTACTATCGAGACTGAGCATTTCATCATTGTGTTCATGCGTTTTAGTCATGTCATTCCAAACCCGTTCGTTTGAAAGTGTAGTTTACGTTTAAATAGATATCAAAGTTATACAATGTCACACATTTGACCTATAATGTTTGAACAACATCGTCCGTCATATTTATAACCGGCCCGCTCTCATTTCAGAGCAGTCAAGAGATTTAGAAGACACCCATTTCTGAATCAAAACAATTGCAAATGGCGGCCGGCGTCATCACCATCGGTACTGCTGTCAAACTACGGCCAATTTCAGTACTTATCGACATTCTAAACACTTTAAAATACAATAATTGCATTCTTAAATACCTTGAATATGCAGCCTTGTAAACATCTTGTCAGTAGAAGATCTTGAAACGATTCTGTAGTCAACGAAATGCAGAGCGATATGGAGCAAGAGCGATAGTGAATCTGTTCAAAACAGAGGGGACGTTGGCCACGACAACGGTCACTACGTTACCGAGACGAAGTCAGAACGAGGCGTCATCGTCCATTTCCGGCAAAGCTGAACCTGTACGGCTGCATGTCGTGGGTGCCAAAGACTTAAAAGGGGGAAGCAGATAAAGTTGTGGTGGCCGTTGGCGTGGTTACCGTCGTTGATAAAAAGAAGGGCCGGTTCAGTTTGTTTTGTCCCTGAGCATTCTCTAGATTAATTATGAAAATGTTTGCTGATAAAGACCGTTCGTCTTACCTGGGGACTGTTTGCTGGTGTGTGTAAGGCGCGATGTGTGTTGTTGGAGGGTCGTCCGCACTTTATTGCCGCGGAACGACAGGCTGCGCAAGTCGCCTTGGAAATCCCAAGCTAGCATCGCCACTGATACACTCAAAGAAATAGTCTGACATGGGTGGTCTCCCTTTGTTCATTGGTAGAAAAGAAGCCCATTCCCCTCACATACACGGAAGATAAAAGCCGTCTTGGCTGCTTGTTCAATCAGTGTGTTTAATTGTTTGTTTATTGTTTACATGATGTGAGTAAGAAATTAACTCCGGCCCCACAGCATAACCCAAGCTATATATTAGAACAGAACAAAATTTTACTCTAAAAAATCACACATTGACACACGCAGAGAACATACATCATCACATCATACACACACATATAATATGTACAAGTCAGCAAGCATATACATCCCAGCTCCTCCACGTGTCAAGGCGACCGTGAAGATTCGGGTTAGAATAGGTATTCAGCATCCCATGCTTGCCGTAAAAGGCGACTATGCTTGTCGTAAGAGTCGACTAACGGGATCGGGTGGTCAGGCTCGCCGATTTGGTTGATGCATGTCATCGTATCCCAATTGCGTAGATCGATGCCCCATGATGCCAATCACTTGATTGTCTGGTTCAGACTCGATTGTTTACAGACCGACGTCATAAAGCTGGAATATTACTGAGTGCGGCGTTAAAGAACAAACAAACAAACAGTGTGTATCTTGTCAGTGTGGGTGGAGAAATGAACACTTATAGATGAATTTACTTGTGCATCGGTATGAAGGTAGCCGTTCATGTTGCAGTAATGATTATTTATTAGTATCGTATTTCGCATAGATGTTGTTTGTTGTTTGCTGTTCAACACCGCACTCGGCAGTATTCGCCTCTTACGACAAGCATATTCGCCTCTTACGGCAAGCATGGGTTGCTGAAGACCTATTACAGCCCGGATCTTCACGGGCCTCGCATATAGATGACATAAGGGGGCGATGGTGTAGCTGAGTGGCTAAGGCGTTGGCTCATCGCGCCTAAGGGCCAGGTTCCATTCCAGGTATAAAGGCTTATCTTGAAGTCCATTCCTGCAAGGTGTCCTTCACCGTCATATGGCTTCCATGCGATTTTCGAGTTCAAACATTTAAAGGGCGACTATCCCCGGGCAGATTGGCTGCTTTAGTAAGTTTGGTTCAGGTCGTTCAAACACAACTTTCTTTGTCTGTTGACTCCAATTTCATGATTTATATCAATCTAAGAGTTCACGAGTACTCTGATTGACCCAGGTGTCCATTAGGCATAATTTACAACATGTAGACCTGGGTACCGTTTCACAAAGCAGTCGTAAGTCTTACGTGCGTGTAAAACTGGCGTAACTCGGAAATACTGAACTAGGGGCGTTTCACAAAGCTAGTGTAATATTACGTCTGTGTAAAATTGGCGTAAACTCTACGTGTGGTCTTGGGGTGGTGTAAATATTTACGCAAGCGATAAAGATGGCGTTCAATCCAAACACGGAAGAGATTTCCAAAAAAGTATGTAAGCGAGAACGTGTTTTCCGCGACAGGTCGAACCCCTCGACGATTTGGATGATCATGACATCATCGAGAGGTACCGCCTATCACGACACATGATATTTTCTATCATTGGTAAAGTGAGTGACAGACTTGAACATCAAACCCAGCGTTCCCATGCAATACCACCTTACCTTAATGTTTTAATTGCTCTGAGATACTTTTCCAAGGGTGGGTTTTACAGTGAGATTGCCGATATCCACGGTGTGAGTAAATCCTCCGTCTGCAGAGCAATCCACGCAACAACAGACGCATTATGTGCAACCATGGGTGATTTTGTATTTCCCACAATGCCTTCCACTCAGAAGAGTACCAAAGAATCATTCTTCGACATAGCTGGATTCCCTAAAGTACTCGGTGCAATTGACTGCACACTCGTACCCATAATGGCGCCGAAACGTGACGAAGTAGCCTACGTTTGTCGGAAGGGTTACCACGCACTGAACATACAGGCAGTATGTGATGCCAACATGAGGTGAGATACATACACACATGGTAGATATGTCTTTTAGCATGAATCAATTATTCCTATTCCTCTTGAACAAGGCACGACAAAATGTAAACATTACAACATGAAATAGATGTCCTTGACATTGACGCATGCTGCGCCCCCTAGGTAACGTTTTGGGCGAGATAAGTCATGATGCATACCAGTAAAAATGAATCCATTGTGATAATGTTTTCAAATTTCCATTGTTTCAATGGAGTATAACTGTTCCATAATTAAAATGTGAATTAATAGTGTTTATTTGTAGGCAGATGTAGATCTCTCTATATATACATTAAATAACTAAATACGTATATGAGCTTTAAAAAATTATGCATGTGCATTTTAAATACTGGATTTGTTATATTTTTCTCTCAGATTTACAAACTGTGTCTTCAAGTGGCCTGGCTCTGTCCATGACAGTTATATATGGAATAACTCTGCCCTTGGTCAGTACTTTGAAAAGAAGAATATTGATGGATGGCTGCTTGGAGACTCTGGGTAAATAAAAATACAACATATATACCTGAACTTCACTTACATTTGCTAAATACAGTTGAATTTTACAATGTGTGATAAACAAATCTGATAAAACTGCACTCAGTAAAATATTGATAATATTTTGATGACCTGTCTGGATATAGTGTTATCCTTATTACTTATGTTACAGATATGCCTGCAGACCATGGCTGCTGACCCCGGTGCTCAATCCCAGCTCAGAAGGACAGGAGAAATACAATAGATGCCATATCAAGACACGGAACACAATAGAGAGAGCATTTGGCTTGTGCAAGTCAAGATTTAGGTATGGTTTTAAGTGGTAACAGTAAGTTGGTAATGTAACCAAGAAATTATTGTAAGTGAAATAGTTAAATATTGAAGGTACAGTTACAAGAGGAAAACATGTAATAGTATCTATAACATGGTATCATTGTTGAAAACTTGAAAAAAAAATGGAGTTACTTCTTATCTCAAACTGAGCTTTTTTAAGTTTTTGTAGTATTTTAAAAGAATTGTTAAAAAACATTATCAACTTAATTTTGAACAAAGTGATAGCCTGTCTAACAGGGGTCTGTGAAGAAGTCGGGAAAAAAACTTATAATACAGAAAATGTGTTTCATCACATTTCCAGATGCCTTCACAAGACAACTGGTGTATTACAATTCACCCCAGAAAGGAGTTTGTGTGTTGTCCGGGCTTGCTTCTTGTTGCATAACATGTGCATCCATGAAAGAATACCACTTCCCCAGGGCATTGAGCTACTCAGAGGAGAGGGAACTGCCACCGAGTTGCCATGTGCTGCTGACTTCCAAACAACAAGCTCTGGTTGTGATGGACTGTCAGCAAGACATCAATTAATTTTGCATAAGTTCACTTAAATTACAGCCTTATGCTATTGTTTTCATCATTTATAATAAGCACAGGAATATAAATCATGAGATGTAAGTGACTTTCTACTCTGTATTACTAGACAGTCACAACTTAAGATAATTTCATATTATACAAAAATATAAAATTCACAGCTTTTGTCATAATCAAAAGAATTTTATTATGGGGGATACATTTTGGCCATTAAGGGGAGAAACATGTACAAATTCCCTGAGCAGCTTTAGCTTCTCCTCCTCAATCTCTACTCTTCTATTCTCAGCCAAGAGAATCTGGCACTGTACAGCTATTAATTGCTTTATTGCGTCAGCAACTGGATCTGGTCCTGTAATAAAACATTGTCTAAATCAATATTGCAGTCTTGTGTATTTTAGGGTTTTATGTAAAACTCATCACAGCTTGATATTCAGCAACAATTATGCAGCAAATGTAAAATTACAATATTTTATTTAAATAAAACAAATCCTCCATGCATGTTAACAAACACATAACTTGACTTAACCCTGATAACAGGACCGATGAAGAGGAAGATATTTTAATGTCTGTTTTTACATTAATATTGCATTCAATTTCACAGCCAAGGGCACTTAATTTGGAATCCTGGACAAATTCCTACATTCATTATAAAGAAAATCATTAATCAATTTCAATGTGACTAACAGTGCCAAGTGCCTAACACCTTTGAATATACAAGCCCCAACTTGAACCAGAGCATCATTATCAGAAATGTATTGTGCTACATGGATAAGTATTACCTGATCTTTCTATACTGAACACAATGTTACCAGATTCGAGCTTCTGACACTTCGCTGATTGCACTTATAATTTAATAAGAGGTAATTTTAACTTTGTTCTGTTCACATATTGATAAACTGATAAAAATGTGTGACTAAATGTTGCATAAATCTTTACCTGGTTCACCTTGTGCCTTTCTAGCTGTGATGTCTGAAAATAAAATGTTTGAGCACATTTATAATATATTTTGTGCAGTACATTGTTCAAAACTGACAAATGTCTCTGATATTGGAGTACAATGACTGTGTTGATGCCAAGTTATTTATAACTTTATATGTATTATATTATAATATGATGTGATTTATTGGTAGAAGATCAATACCTTCCATCATAATTGAAGTTCCTGTCCCTGCTGGGGTGATACACGTTGCTTCTGTTGTGTTGCAAGTGACTGTGTCTGTGAAAGAAAGACAAATAAAGCAGTTCATCATCAGAAGTAACTCAATTTGTGTGGATAACATTTGTATCTCCCACCAAAATAAATAAAGCAATTTGAAGCTGTCACATGTACACAAGTTTTATGACATGTCCATGTCAGTATTTAGCATATCATCAAACAAATGGGTTTGTTTTAAATTTGTTTGATCTATATATATCTTTCAGAAAATCAATGTTACTATGAATATCTGAGTTGAGTATCTGTTTTGATAGGACCAAATAACTAAAACATCAACTAGTCTAATAATGATTTTTTTAATGTTTGCAATAGTTATTATAATGCTTTATCTCAACTTATTTAATACATAAGGTCACAAACATTCGAAAAATTTATATTTGTGTATTATTTTTAATTAATGCCTACCATTAAAGTCACAGGTTAATGAAGATGTAGCCATTGCTGCTGTGCTCATATCAGGATCAGCTTCCAAACGACCCATCAACTTGAAATATAAATGGTTCAACACATGAATGATGACTTATGTAAATTTGCTTATCTGGGAGCATATCAATGAGTTGACTATGCCATGAAGATAATGAAAAAAAACATTTATATGGTTTGTGAACCACAGTCACTATTCTTAAATCAGTACTGTCAAGAGGAATGGCATGGACATATTTACCTCCCAAATCAAATCCTCCAGCAATTCCTTCAATCTGGCAAGGAGGAATCAAACTCACAATCTATAATCAAAGAAATGAAGAACACAGTTAAATTACTTCATGAAATATGAGACAAGTAAATAACTAAATGGTATCAGTATTTTGCATAAATATTTCCCCTATGCCAGTAGAAATAAAGTCAATTTAAGCTTTTTATAAGTCTGTTATATTATTATATATATAACACAAATAACTAAGACAGGTAACATTTGTTTTTCTAGGTATCATATCACAATTTCTGGCCCAATCCATATGTTCATGCATAATCCATAGGTCATGCATTTGGGCAATTAGACTATTACATATGATCTGACATATTCTTCCTGTTGTGTTTCATACCTTCTGTTCAACAGTAGTGAGTTGTGTAGGAGGGCCACCTCCACCAGTTCTCACACTCTCCTTCCTCCTTGTCACCTCCTTCTTCTTGGCTGCAGCCCTGAGGTCCTGCCATTTCTTTTTCAGCTGAGGCACAGTCCTTACCTCCGTGTTATTGGCGTTGATCCTGTAAACAAAAATTATTTCAAAATTATAACATGTTTTGCTCGATGTCACCCATGTTTGACAATTGCCTTGTTGTTGTCTACCATTAAATATGAAGATGTTTAAAAATAAGTGATTCTGGCGTTTTTTGTTCCTAATCACTGAGCGGACATTTAGGAAATTTACGTTTAGTCTATATGCAATTTGTTTTATAATGTGAAAATAGTGATACTTCCGCGACCTCTTATATGTGTGCATACATGTATATGCACTTATGCATATTTCAGATCCGTATCCCGAGCAATAACAATAATTCCCACCTTTTCAAATTTTGCACTATCAAAGAAATATAGGCCTCTCGCAAGTTCAAGTAGATCTACAGTCACCTTTTATCGCTATTTGTTTACTTCCGCATAACAACAAGCGCGATAACTCTAAATGGCATAGGTCTATCACTTCCAAATAAAACACATCCTTCATATGACAGATGTGAGTTCAATGCCGTGAAATGCACTCACTTTGTCAGAATATCCTCCCATATCTTCTTCTTCCGATTGTTTGTGATGCAAGAAGAAAAAGATGAAAACAACACATCTGAATTGCTGCCAACTTCTTCTGTAAGAATTTCTACTTCTGTGGCCGAAAAGTTTCACTTCCTCGATTTCTTGTCGCTAATTTCATCCATTTTAATGCGCTTCGTCGTCTGCTCAGAGCACCTGCCACGGTAGACAACTCTAGTGCGGATTTTCCTACCTCACAAAGGGAAAGAGCTCCAATCGTATTTTTTACGTGCGTGTAAGTTGGCCGAGGTTACGCCAGTTTTAGTGTAGCTTTGTGAAACAGTCTTAGACTATGGCGTAAACATTGCGCAAATATGGCGTAAAATCTACGAGCGTGTAAATTTACGACTGCTTTGTGAAACGGTACCCTGGACTGAAACTGGCACCAGACACAGAAGCGCAGTCCTCCCTTTAAGTCTTAGTTTTCTAAGAAACTTACGTTTCAATTTTTGTCACCATTTTTATCGTGATCATGTGTGCCTAAACTGCTATATTTACTTTCCAACCAGCTACCCATAAACGAAAGAGAACATCTGTAGATATATCTGAAGAATCGATGCTAGGAGAAACAGCGGCAGAGGGCGAAGGGAGATAACTCTCGATCTTTCATCCATACATGTACCCACCAGTAAGTGCAAAAGTGATCGTAATATACCCAGCGTTACTACACCGGCTTCCAAGCTATATAACAGCTATCCATGGGTATGGAGTTCGGACTTTCCATGGGATATTCCTCTAGTAAATTGGGCTAGAAGACAGCAACACAACGGTTCAGGGCAAATGTCCCATTAATATCTTAACTTGAAAATAAATATTAACAACTTATTATAACAACTTCAAATTATATTAACACCAGGCTCGGGTCACCTGCCTTTCCTGTTGTGTTGCTGTCACCCAGTCGTTGTTGGATCCAAGGAAGGAAAACAGACTCATGTGTATACCATTATTCCATTTTTATTTAGATATATTTAAGTAATGGAGTAGTATGTGTCCAAAAAAGGTATTTAAAGCAGGGCCAAAAGTGAGCACAAAAACGGTTCTCCTATATCAGAGAACGGAATCAATTTAGAAATGTCAGTCAAAGGGTGAGCCAAAACAAAAGAAAAGAAGATCGAAAGAGTGTGTCCAAACATAAACCCAAAGGGTGTAGCCAAAACAGTCCAAACGGGAGAAATGCTTTATTACAGGGGCACCAAACCACACCCTCTCACACAAACACACATGCAAAACACATCCTCTTATGCATATACTCAAAACACGCGAGACACATCCTGTCGCACATGAACTCTTAAAATCAAACACACATGCAAAACACATGCTGTCAGTCACACATACACACGTACACACAATACTAGATGCAAATCACTCCAACTCCCATATACACACATGATTACACTCACCCAAACACACATGTGAAACGAACACTCATACATACACACTTAAACCCAATCACACATTCAAAACACACTCACACACATCACAAACTTGCACTTTCTGTCACACATGCAAAACACATCCTCTCACACATACACACTGACACTCAACAACACATGCAAAAACACACCATCTCACACATACACTCTCTATCACACAAGCAAAAAACATCCTAACACACCTACACACTATCTATCACACGTGCAAAACAACATCCTCTCACATTTACACACACTCGTACTCCCTCTCTCTCTCACACACACACACACACACACACTGGATGAGAAATCTACGAGAAGATTCTCCTCCAGAAGGCAGCCACTCTCCTCAGCGCCTTCCTCAGAGGATGAACCTCTCTGTCCTCCACGAAGCTGTCGTCATCCTCATCCTCGTAGACCCAGTAGTCACTGTCGTCATCACTAGGGGCAGGATAATGGTCGACGAAGGTGATGGTGACTGGGGCGGGGAGCGTCTCGCCGTGGTCAGGGCGGGCCCAGAAGGGGGTGAAAACACTCAGAGAGTTGGGAGAGGGGGTCGGGGACGCAGCCTGGGGACGCTACATCAGTGAGTGGGGAGGGAGGGAGAAAGGAGGGTCAGAGGGCCAGGTATATAGGCGGTTTTCAAATAACAAATAACATGTGGAAAAGAAAGTCAGTGTGATACACAGCTTACACATGCAATAAGGCGCTACAACAAGACAGAAATTCTGATCGACCTTTTGAATCATGCAATTGGAGGAGGGGGATCATGCAGTTATTTTTTAGGACACAATATCACACAGAGAAAATGGGCAATGTCAATAGCGTGCGTGGGGGACATCGACAAAAGCACTTAAGTGATCTTATTCGGCGGCCAAATCCGAAACAGATGTAGATAAACTACATACACAGTCGGATTCCTCATCCAGCGACGGCCATAAACTCGCAGCAGGAGTGACATGATACCGGATCATGTCTTCCCGTGCTGAAAAGAAAAATAAACAAATTTAATAATACCTTAAAATACATGTTCAATGAATATATCGAGTTAAGGAGTTCGAGTTAACGAGGTTACACTGTACTACAACTTTGATAAAAGGCATCGCCCAGCCTCTAGTCAACAAATATAGATCTAGATATTTTGCAACACATCTCTACAAAAACTTGTACAGCTCTTATTTACTCTTCAGAACCTGAATGGATGGACGGACAGACAGACAGACAGACAGGTGGATTAGGAGTTGAGAGTACTATCGAGACTGAGCATTTCATCATTGTGTTCATGCGTTTTAGTCATGTCATTCCAAACCCGTTCGTTTGAAAGTGTAGTTTACGTTTAAATAGATATCAAAGTTATACAATGTCACACATTTGACCTATAATGTTTGAACAACATCGTCCGTCATATTTATAACCGGCCCGCTCTCATTTCAGAGCAGTCAAGAGATTTAGAAGACACCCATTTCTGAATCAAAACAATTGCAAATGGCGGCCGGCGTCATCACCATCGGTACTGCTGTCAAACTACGGCCAATTTCAGTACTTATCGACATTCTAAACACTTTAAAATACAATAATTGCATTCTTAAATACCTTGAATATGCAGCCTTGTAAACATCTTGTCAGTAGAAGATCTTGAAACGATTCTGTAGTCAACGAAATGCAGAGCGATATGGAGCAAGAGCGATAGTGAATCTGTTCAAAACAGAGGGGACGTTGGCCACGACAACGGTCACTACGTTACCGAGACGAAGTCAGAACGAGGCGTCATCGTCCATTTCCGGCAAAGCTGAACCTGTACGGCTGCATGTCGTGGGTGCCAAAGACTTAAAAGGGGGAAGCAGATAAAGTTGTGGTGGCCGTTGGCGTGGTTACCGTCGTTGATAAAAAGAAGGGCCGGTTCAGTTTGTTTTGTCCCTGAGCATTCTCTAGATTAAATATGAAAATGTTTGCTGATAAAGATCGTTCGTCTTACCTGGGGACTGTTTGCTGGTGTGTGTAAGGCGCGATGTGTGTTGTTGGAGGGTCGTCCGCACTTTATTGCCGCGGAACGACAGGCTGCGCAAGTCGCCTTGGAAATCCCAAGCTAGCATCGCCACTGATACACTCAAAGAAATAGTCTGACATGGGTGGTCTCCCTTTGTTCATTGGTAGAAAAGAAGCCCATTCCCCTCACATACACGGAAGATAAAAGCCGTCTTGGCTGCTTGTTCAATCAGTGTGTTTAATTGTTTGTTTATTGTTTACATGATGTGAGTAAGAAATTAACGCCGGCCCCACAGCATAACCCAAGCTATATATTAGAACAGAACAAAATTTTACTCTAAAAAATCACACATTGACACACGCAGAGAACATACATCATCACATCATACACACACATATAATATGTACAAGTCAGCAAGCATATACATCCCAGCTCCTCCGCGTGTCAAGGCGACCGTGAAGATTCGGGTTAGAATAGGTATTCAGCATCCCATGCTTGCCGTAAAAGGCGACTATGCTTGTCGTAAGAGTCGACTAACGGGATCGGGTGGTCAGGCTCGCCGATTTGGTTGATGCATGTCATCGTATCCCAATTGCGTAGATCGATGCCCCATGATGCCAATCACTTGATTGTCTGGTTCAGACTCGATTGTTTACAGACCGACGTCATAAAGCTGGAATATTACTGAGTGCGGCGTTAAAGAACAAACAAACAAACAGTGTGTATCTTGTCAGTGTGGGTGGAGAAATGAACACTTATAGATGAATTTACTTGTGCATCGGTATGAAGGTAGCCGTTCATGTTGCAGTAATGATTATTTATTAGTATCGTATTTCGCATAGATGTTGTTTGTTGTTTGCTGTTCAACACCGCACTCGGCAGTATTCGCCTCTTACGACAAGCATATTCGCCTCTTACGGCAAGCATGGGTTGCTGAAGACCTATTACAGCCCGGATCTTCACGGGCCTCGCATATAGATGACATAAGGGGGCGTTCGTGTAGCTGAGTGGCTAAGGCGTTGGCTCATCGCGCCTAAGGGCCAGGTTCCATTCCAGGTATAAAGGCTTATCTTGAAGTCCATTCCTGCAAGGTGTCCTTCACCGTCATATGGCTTCCATGCGATTTTCGAGTTCAAACATTTAAAGGGCGACTATCCCCGGGCAGATTGGCTGCTTTAGTAAGTTTGGTTCAGGTCGTTCAAACACAACTTTCTTTGTCTGTTGACTCCAGTTTCATGATTTATATCAATCTAAGAGTTCACGAGTACTCTGATTGACCCAGGTGTCCATTAGGCATAATTTACAACATGTAGACCTGGACTGAAACTGGCACCAGACACAGAAGCGCAGTCCTCCCTTTAAGTCTTAGTTTTCTAAGAAACTTACGTTTCAATTTTTGTCACCATTTTTATCGTGATCATGTGTGCCTAAACTGCTATATTTACTTTCCAACCAGCTACCCATAAACGAAAGAGAACATCTGTAGATATATCTGAAGAATCGATGCTAGGAGAAACAGCGGCAGAGGGCGAAGGGAGATAACTCTCGATCTTTAATCCATACATGTACCCACCAGTAAGTGCAAAAGTGATCGTAATATACCCAGCGTTACTACACCGGCTTCCAAGCTATATAACAGCTATCCATGGGTATGGAGTTCGGACTTTCCATGGGAGATTCCTCTAGTAAATTGGGCTAGAAGACAGCAACACAACGGTTCAGGGCAAATGTCCCATTAATATCTTAACTTGAAAATAAATATTAACAACTTATTATAACAACTTCAAATTATATTAACACCAGGCTCGGGTCACCTGCCTTTCCTGTTGTGTTGCTGTCACCCAGTCGTTGTTGGATCCAAGGAAGGAAAACAGACTCATGTGTATACCATTATTCCATTTTTATTTAGATATATTTAAGTAATGGAGTAGTATGTGTCCAAAAAAGGTATTTAAAGCAGGGCCAAAAGT